GTGTCGCGTATTTGGATGTGGAATTATGCAGAAAAACAAATTAAGGTATTATGATTTATCCACGTAAATTACAAGTTTTGTAAAATTTGGTTGGTTAATGCTTACATTGGAATAATGGTATTGATATTTCAATTTTGAAGATTAGGAGCTGTGATATGTATATATATTTGCATCATTTTTGTACATATATAATTGCATTCTTTTATCCCTTGTTTAGCATCACTCAGCATCATATAGGAGCCATTTAGGTCTAGTTTAGCTTAAACTTGCATCTTAGGGTTCTAGGTTAGAGTTTGTACATATTTCTCTTCTTTTACTCTTTTTTAGGTGGTATATGTGTTATAATGGAGTTATATGGCTTATCAAGGCCTAGAGGAGTGGAATCAAGGGCATTTGCAAGGTTATAGAGTTAACAAAGGAAGCAGATGAGCAAATACCAGTCATCAACCATCATGGCTCACCGGTAAAACACACTTGAGACAGCGACATCAAACATACTGAAGTTCTTGACTTGGGTCGAGAATCAGGATGTCAGTCCCCCAAACCAGTGCACAGATGTCTCAGGTTATCCCCTTGTTACGATGGAGCATCAAGACTCTCCAAATGTTGGACCAGGCGTGCCGTATCGGCTGAAGAATAAGCGGAAGACATCGATATACCCTGATATCAGCACAAACCGATGAAGAAGACCGATAACATGCGCCTAACGAGGGAGTAGTGTCGCGAGACGAGAGCTGGAAAACATGTTGAAACGGCACCGGATATCAGTCACTTCCCTGATATGGAGTGACCGATCCCTGTTGCATTTTGTTGACTTTTTTGGATGATCCGTTTTTTTTTTCGGGTTGACCCGGGTACTGTTATGAGGGGCTATAAATATGTTCTTTCCTTTTTTTAAAAACGTAAGTTTTTCTTCCTTCCTTTCCTTTTTTCGCTTTCAAGCTTTCTTTTCACGTTGTAGTTATAATCGATCCTTAGAGCATTAATACGTTGATGTTCTAAGTTCTTTTCTTTATAAAGTTTCAGTCTTTACCTTAAAATTTCGATCTTTACTCGTTAATCGCACTCATCCTTGCATTTTACCATACACATCACACTTGAGCTCGATCATGGTTTTTCCCGTAGCCATGAGTGAGTAGTCCGCTTGTCGAGTATCGGGTTAGTAGATGTAGGAGCTTTAGAAGATGGCTAATCTAGCTACGGTTTAACTATATTAGGGTTTTCGAGGTGAGGTTGAGATTAATGCTTAGTTCTTAGCTTTTGCCTTGAGCTTCGTCTTTGGGTGTTCAACTGCCCAAAAGGTATTTGTCGGAATGCCGAAATGACATTTGTTCGGCTAAGTGAGCTTATTGGAACTTGACCATCATGCTTGGAGAGTCCTTATATCTAGCAGCGAAAGTTTGTTAGATGTTTGTAGTCAACAAAGTAATTAGTACATCACGAGAGTGGGATAATTTGAATCAGAGTTCCATGCTTAAGAGTTGAGCTTAAACTGAAAGTCCCTAGCTTTATTAGCCGCAATTTATTGCTCCTCATCAGTTGCTAACCGGACACTTGATGCTTTACATTATCATTGCATTCATCTAAAGTCTTTGTTTTGTTCATCTGTTTAGCTTTAAACAATCAAACAGACTCTTATTGATGCTTTAGCTTAACTAATCTACTACTCTAAATCCTAGTCTTCCTTGTGTTCGAACCCTATGCTTGTAACAATTGAATCATGAGTTAGATTGTTAACTTGATAGGTTTTATTTGCATGAAAGATCCTTCTCATCAAACTGTTAGCATATTTATTTTTGCAGCTACAAATTGAGATTGAAGTCTTATTTTACAACAAAATTTCGTTTTAAAAGGCAAATAAGTTAACAAAATCTGTAACTATTGAAATTAAGATAGGTTGGACTAAACTAATGGTCAAAAACTAAATTTAAGAGATAAATAAAAAGACACATGCCAAAGTTCTAAGAGACACATAGTAGATTTTCATAACTTAAGTTTTGAAAAATCTTAAAATATTATAAAATTGTTGTTGTGGTACTATCGAATTTTTAAACCTTTATCATAAATGATATTAGAAAAAGAAACAAAAATTTCTTGTTGAAAACATACAGAAAATGGGATGCATACACAATTAGTTTTGAAGTTATTCAAACAATACATAATAAATTTTCTCAAATTCTACTTTGGGATAGTGTCCAATTGTACTCTACACAACTCTGAGACGACGTCTTACTCATGTGACATGTAATCGTGATCATAGTTAATCAATTGTATGGCACGGCATGAAAAACTAGATATCCAAACTTATATATATAAATAGCGAAGACAAAGAAAAATCTTTTTTGTGCGAGATCATTGAAAAATACCTGGATCCGGTATTGTAAGTTGTAACCAAATATCCAACTTTATAAATCCAAATATAAGTATTGCGTCTAGTAACTTTTAATCATTTGGCTAAGTATAGATTCAACTCCTCAAAAAACCCGATCTATTGATAACACAGAGTTTTAACC